AAATGAAAATTAAGCGCGTTATCAGTGACAAACTGGCGAGCAAGCGCCGACGAACGACTGTGCAGACTACCATATCCCACGCGTCCGCTATGGGCACCGTTTGCACTAAACCCAATTCCCAATCTGCCTCTGCTGCTGCCGCGCCGGTGGCTCAAGATGCACCAGCACGTTGGACCCCTGAGAAGACGGATGATGTGCTTGAGCAAAAGTCACGGAAACGACTCTCGCTCGCACATGTACCTCGACCCAACACAGATGAACACAGCAATGACAGCGAACCGGAAGCTGAACGAGGAGCCGTACTCAAACTGTCCAATAAAGACAAACGCCAACTCCGACTCAGCGTCTGCGGTTCCACAGCACCTCGCGCCCAAGGGAACTTTGAACAGAAACTGGAACTCCTTCAGGGCAACCTCGACGAGGACCTGGAGTCCTTCGGTAACACCTCCCTCTCCCTCCCCCTCCTCCGTTCGAACACGTGTGCGAACATGTGTGCGAACTGCCACATTATTACTTCCGTTGCAGGCATTGGTCATGTATGTCGCAAGGGATTGAAACCAGAGTCTCCGAATCAGGACGACTTCTTCGTGTACATTCTGGGAGGTGTGAGAATGTTCGGTGTGTTCGATGGGCACGGTCCGTTTGGCGACGACATTAGTCATTTTGTACAGCAGCGATTGGGCGTGCACGTATGGCATCATGCCGGGTTTGGATCTGATTATGAGAATGCGATGCGTGAAAGTTTTGCAGTGATGCAAACAGAGATAGTGGAAGCCTCAGACCGTGGGACATTTGACGCGAATTTGTCGGGTTGTACTGGTACATTGGTGATTCATGACCGTGACAAGGAGCTGTTGGTGACGGCACATGTAGGCGATTCCCGAGCGGTATTGGGCCAAGTAGATCCTCAGACCGGTAGACGTCGCGCACTTGATCTGACTGAGGACCACAAACCGACGCTTGAGGCCGAGTTTAGAAGAATTACTGCCGCTGGTGGACAGGTGAAGAAACTCGTCGGAGATATCCCACATCGCGTCTTCCTTAAAGGCCGCCAGGTCCCCGGCTTGGCAATGTCCAGGGCCTTCGGCGACCTTGTGGCTGTCCAGGCCGGCGTCATTGCTGAACCTCAGATCAACACTTACAAGATTCCACACCCCGGCTCGAGTTCCGGCTCCGCCCTAGGCTCAGCATCTGGCTCAAGCTCCGGGGCGGGGGAGCAAGCCGCCGCGAACAAACCTGAAGCCGAGCAGCCCCCGCCCGGCGCAGATGGAGGTCGCCTCCAACAAGGAGATGGCCCCGGACAGGGAGGCGGCGGCGGGCAGGAAGGTGCACAGAAAAAAGACGACGGAGAGAAACAAAGTGGAGAGAAACAAAGTGGAGAGAAACAAGAAGACGAAGAGAAACAAAGTGGAGAGAAACAAAGTGGAGAGAAACAAAGTGGAGAGAAACAAAGTGGAGAGACAGAGGGACACACGGAGCCGCTGAAGAACCTGGAGGAGTGCGGACCGTTGTTGATTGTGTGTAGTGACGGCGTGTGGGAGTTTATTTCGACGGCGGAGGCGGTGGCGATGGTATCTGACTTGGGCCCGAAGCAGGTGCAGCATAGCGCGGAGGTATTGGCGCGTGAAGCCTGGAATCGGTGGATCGACACTGAGGGCGACGTCGTGGATGATATCACGGTCGAGATCGCCTACCTGAACTTCCCTGATGCACACGCGAGTGTCACAAGTAACCAAGCTGTCCGTGCAAGCAATGATACTGCCCATCGTAGCAGCACCTTTTCCGAACAAATAGTTAGCTAGCGAAAGTAACGCCACGAACAGGCTGTTAATAATGTAACCAAAAACTCCTACTTACTCTTCGGGACCCTCAGGCTTAACATCGGCGGGATTTTTAGCAGCACCCTCAGACACCTCAACTGTGGCACTCTCCGGCTCCCCTGCAGTATCGGCCTCAGCTTCCTCCGCCGCGATCCCCGACTTCGGCTCAGAGGCCGTCGGCTGAGACTCCTCAGCCACCTTCGTCTGGGGCTGCCCGGCTTCAGATAACTGCTCAGCAGTCTGCGACTCTGCAGTCTGCGACTCTACAGTCTGCGACTCTACAGTCTGCGACTCTACAGTCTGCGACTCTACAGTCTGCGACTCTACAGTCTGCGACTCTACAGTCTGCGACTCTACAGTCTGCGACTCTACAGTCTGCGGCTCCGCAGCATGTGGTCTCTGTGGCTGCTGCTTCTTCAGCTGGCTGAGCTTCTTTCTCGTAAGCTCTACTTCGTGGTCCATCCCTGCTTTTTGCGCCTGGACTAGCAGCATTTCAAACTCCTTCACAGTCACCGCACAACGAAGCTTGGACCGGATCTCCTTCTGCTCCTGGTCTTTGGACAAAGTCGCTCGCTCTGCCGCCGTTAGCCGAATTTCCTTCGGAGGGGGAGGTAGTCCTCGCGGACGTGCGGCTCCTGCACCTATATTTTGAACGACGGTCTGTGGCCTCCACACAGACGGGGGAATCCGCAACCCGTTTTCAATGCGGCCTAAAAGGATGACCAATGACTACCGCACACATGCGTGGCTCCCTCGCACACATTTGTGGTTCCCTCGCAGATGCGTGTCGCTCCCTCGCACAGGTGGTGTGATTCCACTGCGCAGGTGTGTGACTCCCCCGGCCGTACGTTCTGGTTCTATCTTGAGACCGTGATCGTTAACGATCTTGTTTGCTTGATCAATGTAACTGGCGTGGTTGGCTTGGTTGCACAGCTGCCTTAGCTGGGTAATCACTGTCTGCAGTTGCTGGGTAGTTCGCTGCTGCTGCTGTCGCTTCTTCTTCGACTTGGACTTGGTCACCGCGACCGTCTCAGAAGATGGAGCGGCAGTGGGGGCCTGCGTCAGTGTCACTGCGGTGGGGTCGGTGTCTGATGATGTCATCGAAAAATTCGCAAAAGTCAAAAACGATTTAGAGCGAGCGCCTTTGCACCAGGCTATTTAATATACTGACCAAGACCACATCTACCTCCCATTACAGTGGCACGGATGTGTGTGTTCATGAAACGGGTGTGTGTGTTCATGACAAGGGTTCATGACACGGGTTCATGACACGGGTGCATGACACGGGTGGGTGTGCGGCGAGGTGTGCGTCAAGTTGTGTGCGTTCGTACCCGTCGATCTTGCCTTGATAGGTAGTAAGGAAGGGCTGCAGAATGTTGTCGTAAACGATTGTGGCGCCGTGAAATTGGGGCAGAGACAGCCACAAAAGGAAGGCCAGCTTCAGAACGTAATAGAAAGGAATCCAGAACAGCAATATGTCCGAGAACAATTCGACCACAGCGAACGACGCATACACAACCCAGTAAGCCAACCATTGCCTGCTGGATTGATGAGAACCTGTTTCGATCGCCTTAAAGGATTGCCATGCAGGATAAAAGAATCCAGCCATTGTTCTACAACATAAAAGGCGTAGATATCACGACACGGAGATATTCTCCGTATAGGCCAGTTCATCTCCGCATTTCCTCTCGTGCTGAATCTTACAGGATTATCTCTTCAAACTGCCCCAGAAGAAGCAAAAGGAGAACTACTCCCGTTAGAGGAACCATTGCTGGTCGCACGGACAGAGTCGACGCTATCTAATAAAAGCATGACACGACCGGGACTGGAGGAGGGTGGAAGAGGGTGGAGGAGGGTGAGGGTAATACTTTTTGGATGATGGGTATCTCATTGATATGCGACTCCAGTTGCGTCAAGGTTTCCATTGATAATATTTTATGATTGGAGGCGAAGATAACAGCCGAAAATCACGGCCCACTTTAGACGGGTCATTGCGTGGTGGTCTGGATCAGACAGGGGAGCGCAAAACATCCTTGTCTGAAAAAGCCGGCCGGCCGGATGACAAGAGGTCAGATAAGGAACCTTGGTCTAAGACTCGACAGTCAGGGTCTGAGAAAAAAAGTGAGAATGGTGACGTCTTGAAGGGAAACAACGAGCATGGAACTGACGTCCAAAAGAAAGGAAATCAAAGGCCCAGTGTGCAAGGGCGGCAAGCAGTGAAAGAGTCGGGGCCTACACAGGGCAAAAGCAAAACCCCTACCCGTTCCAGCAGTTCTACCGATAAAGCGCCAGGTCCGGCCATGTCGGTGGCGGAGCGTACCCGTCGTCTGAGCTTCGTGGGCAAGCCCTCGGGCGACGAATCGTCCAAGCCAAGTAGACTGGACTCGCGCCCGTCGAACGCGAGACCGTCGGATTCGCGGCCGTCGACTAAGGTATCACGACTGGACAAAGGACTTGCGGGAGCCAGTAATAAGTTCGGCCGTCAAGCCAGTAAGCTTGACAGAGCGGGTAAGTTCGAAAAAACTGGTAAGCTGGACGGCAAGGAGGCGGCTAAAAGGGTGGGTGAGAAAGCGGTGAAGTCAGGGGAAGGGAAAGCGGTGAAGTCAGGGGAAGGGAAAGCGGTGAAGTCAGGGGAAGGGAAAGCGGTGAAGTCAGGGGAAGGGAAAGTGGTAAAGTCTGGGGAAGGGGAAGGCAGCAAGCCCGAGAAGGGAAAGGACAGCAAACCGACCGATGGGAAAAACAGATCTACGGAGGGAAGACGGGTTGCATTTAGTCCGGATGTGGGGACCAGAAGCTCGCAGCGAAGGACGTCTGTGGCTGACAAGTCGTCCGAGGGGCGGAAATCGGGTGTTAAGCAGCAGCAGGTGGGCGTCGATGACCTCAAGTCTGGTCACAGCAGTGGTGGTGAGTCTGGTCCTGTGGCAAAAGATGAAGACCTGACGTTCGGGACTTTGGAGTGGTACCGAAGATGTCGTCAACGCGTCGACGATCATATATGGGCAGCAAGAAACACCAAACAGCACTCGGACCATTGCACGGCTGTAGTCGTGGGCTACGACTTTCTTTGGATGGGGCTCTGCGAGCAGTCTCGCCCGCTTGTGACGACTGAGCTCGACTTTAAAAGTCTCCGTAGCCGTCGGAAACCGCCACCTATCAAGAAGGAAAGATCTTCCGACGCACCAAGTGATGCCACTGAGAAGGGAACCAAAAAAGCCGATGGGCAACCTGTTTCCTCCTTCGACCGTTTCCAGCGAGAACTGCGGGCGAAAGAGGCAGCCCGGTCGAAACCGGAGAACAGCGAAGAAGAGCTTGTTGACCTCAAAAAAACGGACTCCGATACTCTATCAGTTGATGACAACAACGCCACTCATCAATCGACTAATGGGTCGTCGTCTAACAAGTTCACTTCTAAGTCGACTGATAAAGCAACTATTAATAGCACCACTAAGTCCACGAGCAACCTCGCTACTAAATCTATCGCTGGTAGCGTGGCTGGTAATTTAAAGGGTACCGTATCCACCAAAGAAACTACGGACCAGGAAAAGGCGGTCGGAGGGGCACCTGGTCCAGGGAAAGAGGAGTCTGGTGGTGTCAAAGGGGAGCAGCCTACCAAAGGGGAGCAGCCTACCAAAGGGGAGCAGCCTACCAAAGGGGAGCAGCCTACCAAGGGGAAGGGTCGTCCACCACCTAGCAAAGGTGTTGTTAAGAAAGCACCTCCACCGCCGAAGAAGTCGTCGGCTTCTAAACCCAGAGCATCCTGGTCGGGTCGGAACGGTCTGATGCAACGGTTGTTTCGGAAGAAGCAGCAACCTTCAGCAGCCCCTGATCTTGTTGCGTCCAGGGAGTCGTACCTTACGCGCAAATACAAGAAGCTCGGAGGGCTCCTGCCTGTTGGAGACCACGGGGAATTTGCAAGGACTTCGAAACCGAAACCGGAGTTAGAATTACCGATCTCCTTATCACAACCTGCAAATTCTCCTACAAACATAAAGCAGATGCAAAATTTATCGGAGAGCGTTAGAGTTGAGGGAGCTACTGAACTTGGACATACTGAACTTGGACATACTGAACTTGGACATAGTGAGATTGTACATACTGAGTTTGGTCATACTCAACAGCGTCCATGGGACGAAGCCGTTTGGCCTCGGAGATACGACTATGACGTTCGCCAGGACCGGATCGAGAAGGCCTTGTTTCCTTCGGTAAGAGCAGCGTGTGAAAAATTTCATCAGATGTCATTTAATCGCAATAGTGTGTTTGTAGCATACGAGGACCTCTTAATGCCCCAATATGTGTAAGGCCATCCACCGTAAACCTTTGCCGTAAATCTTTGGCCGTATGTCTTTGGCCGTAAATCTTTGGCCGTAGCTGCCTACCCTAGCCGCCCATGAGCAAAAGTTCTTGTAGTGAAGTCGTGGACGAGATGCTTCGGCGTCTCTTGGGAGTGCACCCCATCACATGGGTACCTGCGTCTGTATGCAGTCTAGCCGCAGTGGGATTAGACAGTGGCTTGGTCGTCTGCATTGGTAGAGACTACACGGCCGTAGTGGTGGTGTGGAACGGCGAGGTCTTGCTTTCTTCGCTGCAACTCAATCAAGACCGGGTCCTTCCATCGCGCCACCGCGATCGGGACTCTCTTGCCGAAACCGGGTGCCGCCGCAAATGGAGCGCTGCGAAACCGGACAAGCATAAGGCGGACCTGCCCAGGAACACCCGAAGCAGCAGCAAGGTTGCCGCCCGGAGGGACTCAAAGATCGAAAGGGAGTCCAGCACTGGGAAGACGCGTGACGACTCCAAGACCCACAAAGACCCGAAAACCGGAAAGGAATCACAAACTGGCACGGACCCGTCCAAGACCCGGCGGGAATCCAAGACCGGGACGGAGCCCAAAATCGGAGAGACAGGGAAGGACTCCACAACCGAAAAAAAGTCCAAGACCGGGGGAGCAACGGCTGAGACGGGGGAAAGGAAGCAAGGGGGAGCACTACCGGGCGAGAAGACGTCAGGTCCGACGCCAGTTCTCAGACTTACATCTCCATCTCCACCTAGTCCGTCACCGACTAGTCCATCTGCCTCATGTGTGTCCGCCTCCAGTTCAAAGGTGACGTCGCTCAGTCGGCGTTCAAGCGAGGCTCAAGGGACTCCGAAGCTCGCTTTGCAGCCGCCGGCTGCTTCGGACCGTTCAGACGTTAGCGTGTCTAGTAGTATGCCTGGAAGCATGGCTGGCAGCATGGCTGGCAGCATGGCTGGCAGCATGGCTGGCAGCATGGGTGAAAGTGGAGAGGAGAGGCTGTGGTCCTTCGAGACGGAGGAACCAGTAGACGAAGTGAGTTACGATCCGACGCGGTGGCCGGGTAATCTGGACTACGAAGTGCTGTTCAACAATACGTTCCAGCGAGAAGGTCGAGGGACCCCCACCCTGCCCGGCATGGTCGTCCGGGCTCTTGCACTCATCAACGTGTCCATGCGACTGCTGCTTGCACAACGCATTGTGGTCATTGGAGCCGGTAGCGAAGTACCCGGCATGGTCGACCGACTTCAGAAACAACTTTGCTCGCCCCTAGTAACTGACACCCCCAAATACCAGGTCATTGCGGCTGGAACGTTGCTGCCATTTCTGGGCATCAAGCATCTCAACATCCACAATTGAGTAACCTACCGTCGATACGGTGGGTTGTGGAACTTCGATTGATTGAAGGTAGAAGAGAAGCAAGGTGAGGAAAAGAGAGGAAAGGAGACGGTGCAGTGCAATGACATTAATAACGATGCAGCACTAGGACAACCGTCACGTCATTGGTTGTCCGAGACGGGAGAACGAGCTGTTACTGTGGAAGGTTTTAAGCCATGAGAGGTGGAAGGTTTTAAGCCATGAGAGGCAACAGGCTGTACGCCATGAGAGAAGAGGCTGTAAGCCATGAGAGAAGAGGCTGTAAGCCATGAGACAGTTTATATCAGCCGACGAGGGCCACCTCCAGCTGTTGATAGGTTCGGTCCATTTGATGAAGTACAGTAGCTCCATAGTGTCAACTCATCCAGGTTGGTAGGTAGTTACCCCGCTGAAGAGGCACGAGCCATTCTTTTTGGCCAGCTCTACCGATTCCGCAGAGAGAGGTGCTTTCATACCAACTATAGTCGTCAAAGACAACGGCATGTATCACTCCGTCTCAAGAGCATATTCCGACAGTATCTTGACGATCTCATTGCACTCTCTTATTGCACTCTCTTATTGCACTCTCTTATTGCACTCTCTCTCTCGTCCAGATTAATTTTTAGACGACCGTCCCTCCTGCAGTCCAGGTCCATTTGTTGTTCAGGACATTATCATTATGAACCACAATTCATAATGGACGGTCATAAGGCCCCTGTCTCCTTTGGGCTCTATAATCGGATCCATGTCCTCCGTATCGTCGTCTCGCATATTGGGCCCTTTGGAGATATGGCTCGAGTCTGTAGTATGCGGACTCAATGAGATCCGTCTGGACGCTGGGGAACGGAGGTGGTTTGTAGACAGAGAAGTCATGTCGGTCCGGATGCTGCCTCTCACTAACGGATCGAAGTTCGAACAAGGGACTCCGCGGATCGATCACTGCGCACAGTATCGACCCAGAATTACCTCCACTCATTGCCTTTTTGAGTTTCTACCGAAACGGGTTAGTTGTGTGGGACATTATTCATGTAGAACACTATTTCAGAATGTATGTGAATGTTGTATACACACAAAGGACAGACACTAGGTCTGTGTGTGCACACACTATGCCTATGTGTGCACACACTATGCCTATGTGTGCACACACTATGCCTATGTGTGCGGATACGTACGTGCGCGCGTGCCTACCAGATATGTTTTCTCGAATACCTCAATGACTTCCGTCATCTTATAAGTCGACTTCCCCACGTCCAGGTGCGGCTCCAGAGGTGAAACCACGTACAGCCGGTCATTGGGCTCATCGCAATACTCGGACTTGCGAATAATTTGGCCGTTGCCGCGAATGTCGATGCCGTCAAAGACATAGTCGAAGTTGGTGTATCTCCTCAAGAAGGACACGAGTAAGTTCCCCAAGGTATCCTCCTCCAGGTAGTCCGCAAGCGAGTCGTAAACTAAAGGAAAAAGGGGGGTGGACAAGGGTGGTGTTCGGGTTATACCTTCGTCGCAATCTTGCGTCCTCTGCGTCCTTCTGTTGGCAGACTTGCGCTGTTTGGACGCTCGCGACTTCGCCTCCTGCTGCAGGTGATGGGTGACCATATTGAACAACATGTACGACCCGACTCCGCCTTTGTACGTCTCGTTGAGATCGTGTTCGCGTAGTAACAATTTAAGAATTAGAATAAGGGGCCGAAGGTGTCTCCATTCCCTTATCTACAATAACAATCACTAGGGGGTAACTGTGGTGTGGGTAACTGTGGAGGGGGTAACTGTGGAGGGGGTAACTGTGGATGGGGTAACTGTCGAGGGGGTAACTGTGGATGGGGTAACTGTCGAGGGGGTAACTGTCGAGGGTAACTGTCGAGGGTAACTGTCGAGGGGTAACTGTCGAGGGGTAACTGTGGATGGGGTAACTGTCGATAACTGTGGAGTGGGGTAACTGTCGAGGGGGTAACTGTGGTGTGGACAGGTGGTTACCCGTTCGTGTATGTAGCCACTGGTTTTCATGGCGGAGTCTTGGTTGATGGTGAGGTCGACTTGTACGTCGGAGCTTTTGTCAGTGAACTTGACGATGGGTACNCGGGCCTTGGTAACGGCG